AAGCAGGCTTCCTGTGTAAGGGCTGCAAACTTTAGGGAGTTATTTCTGCAAGGCGCTGCCCTGTGTATTGTACATCACCCTCGAGCTTTATCCATCTAAAAAGATAGAGCATAACTCAGCCCTCATCGGAGGAGCTTCTGTTTGCAGTAGGTGGTGTTTAACACAGAGACCCACAGCTGGCCAGGGTTTAGAGAATAAGAGACAATGGGATGCTCAGCCTTAAATGGTGCATCTCTGTCACACACAGACACACACACGGCTCAGGGATCGTCCATTGCAGTGTGTAAGAGCCAGAGGTGGTGGGTGACTGCAAAGAAACATTGTCCCCTAGACACAACAGGGCAGCAGCAGATATGACGCAGAGCAGGTGTGACAGTGTGCACAAGATCTGTTCAAGCACTGGCCAGAAAAAAAGTACAGTATGGAGAGGGGAGGAGGAACCAAGTCCCACCCCTAGCTGGGTTTGTGTGAGGGAATAACAGAGAGAGTGTGTGCGTACATCTTCCCACGAGTCCGTCTCTTGGGTGCGTATGCACATGTATTTGGCGGCCAGAGTTTGGAATCAGATGTCGTCCCCAGGAAGGCAAACTGCCTTAGTATTTGAGATAGCACTTCTCACTGAACCTGGTGCCCATCAGTTCAGCTAGATTGGCTGCTGACCGAAACCCAGGATCCTCCTGTCTGCCTTCCATACACTGCCACACCCAGCTTTGTTTTTTTTTTTTTCTTCCTGTGCCTTTTATTTTTTTTCTTTTTTTATTGAGAAAAGGAGAAAAAAAAAAAAACAAGTTTCCACCTCCTCCCAGCCTCCCATTTCCCTCCCCCTCCTCTCACACCCAGCTTTGTACATAGGTACTGGGATTTGAACTTGGGTCCTCAAAGCTTGTCTGCCTTCCATGTACTGCAGCGCTGTTTTGTACATAGGTACCGGGGATTTGAACTTGGGTCCTCATATTTGCACTGCAATCACTTTGATGACTGAACCATCTGCCTGTTCTTTATAGCCTTCACATTTGCTCGTTAGTTTGCAGAGGACAGCCTGGGCTCCCCTCTCTGCCTTGTGGATTTTGGGAACTGAACTCTGATCGTCAGGCTCGGCAACAAGCACCTTTAACCACTACCTTGCCCATTCTAGTTTTTATTTGCTTTTCTCTGACAGCTGATGCAACTGGACCTGTTTTTCCTATCCACTGGCTGTTTGGCCATCTTTGGAGAACAGTCTATCAAAATTGACTACATTTGTCTGGTGTTGCCCATGTCCCACACAGTGCAGGTGCAGGGCAGATAGCAGGTGCCAAACAGGACCTAACAGATCCTGTACCTCCCTCCCTCCCTGCTGAGATGTGACCTGGGAGTTGGGAGAGGGGGACAAGGCTTAGGGATAAAGGTTCTTGAATTGTATTTCCTGTTCCACTGTCTAGTTTGACCATGTATAAGGCTTGTCGCTGGGACAATGACATGTCCCCATGCCCACATGTGTGAAATAGGAACCATATCCACAGCCTGGAACTCACTACGTAAGTCAGGTTCACAGCAGTCCTGCGTCGGCCTCCCCAGTGCTGGGATTATGGGCGTGTGCCACCGTGCCCAACTTGGGAGTGACATCTTAACATGACGGAGGGCCAAGGGAAGTTCAGAGTGCCGGCTTGGAAAGCACCCAGGCTCCAGGAGCGGGGAAGGTAAATGAATGCGTGTCTGTTCTTGGGGCCCCAGCACCTGCACCTTCTCCACCTCTGTACTCACCTGGGATGGGCAGCAGCCGTTGTGCTCTAGGTAAATAAGAATGTCCCAGAGGCCCATTCACCACTCACTTGCTCTCTCTGTTGTATGGCCAGTGTTCCTTTGCAATACTACGAGAGGGACCGGGAATCCAGTTTCCCACTCAGTTGAGTGTCCCTGCTGTCCCTTGCCTGTGGTCCCGCCTCTGTTCTGTCTCTACATCTTCATCCCACTCCTGCCCCCTCAGATAAGGCGTGGCTCTTGCATGCAAGCCTGAGATAAACGGCAAACTCCGCTGGCTGTGGGGAGTGGCCGCCTTCATGGTGATGTGGGGATGAATCACTTCTGTCCTGACACATCTGGCCTCAGTGTCCTGGCCTTTAATGAAAGAAGTCTTAGCATCCATGGGCAGGGCAGTCTGGTGAAGGCTTGCTCCGTCCTCTGGTCACAAGCATTGTTCCCTGTGCCAGCATCTGCTCCCACCTTCCTGCACATCTGGTTTCCTAGCAACGTCACCACCCAAGTTCCTCATCTCGTGCTTGGAGCAGATGTCCCGAGCTGACTTGGAGTGGCTTCTTTTTGCTCCCATCCGCTGACTGTCAGGGTAGCCAGCTGCTTCATTGACAGTCCTGGGAGTTCTCCAGAATCAGGGAAGCCATCAGGCAAGTCGGAGATGAGGCCAGCCAGATTTCCCTATGCGTGGCTTTGAAAGCCATGTAAGATATCCTCCAAACAAGATTTTAAAGTCACCTCTAAAGGGACATCAGAGTAGAAGAAGTAAGTGTGTCCTAAAGACTCGGTCATTGTTTTCATTCAACTTGGACACTGAAGTCAAACTTAGGGTCTTTCAAACACTGTGTGACCCTAACAGGGCTTCCTTGCCTCTGTAATAAGTAACCAAGAGGACAGACTACTGAGGATCTGGAGGACTTTGGGCCCTGAGGAATGACAGGCTCTTACCTCGTGGCTGATTTACTGGTCTAAGATCAGAACTTGTAGCACCTTAGTCTGTTTCTGCTGCTGCAACAAATTGCCCAAGACTGGGAAACTTACAAGAACAGAAATTCATGTCATAGTTTTGGAGGCTGGTGGTCAAGGCGCTGGTGGGATCTGTGTTCTGTGAATGTTACTGTTTCAAGTTGACACCTTGTTACTCTGTCCTTGCACAGTGAACTGCAGAAAGTCCAAAGGGCTCAAATACTGTCCCTCTACACCCCTCACAAGGGCTTGTCCCTCCGCGAAGACAGCGCCTTCATTGCCTGGTCACCCCCTAATACTGCCCCTCTACACCCCTCACAAGGGCTTGTCCCTCCGCGAAGACAGCGCCTTCATTGCCTGGTCACCCCCTAATACTGTCCCTCTACACCCCTCACAAGGGCTTGTCCCTCCGCGAAGACAGCGCCTTCATTGCCTGGTCACCCCCTAATACTGCCACATTGTGTATTAGTTTTCAACGTGAGCATGGGAAGGGACACGGTGTTCCAGCTGAAGCAATGATGTAATTCAACGTTTTCTAAATCAGGTGTAGGGGAGTGCGCATGAAAACCATCCACGCCCCCACCTGTGGTCTCTGTGATGTCATCCATGTCTGGAGTGCCCGCCACCACTCCCAAGCCTGGGTATGTGATGTACATAAACCACCGAGGTTCTCTGTGCCTAGACGGTTGGCTGGAGGGATGAGAAGGAGAAGACACAGCTAAGAGCATACATTGGTGACTTTGACCCGTGAGACTGCCGGTGTCTCACACCTGCCTTGGCACTGACTATGGATCTAACTAAGGTCTGCCCACAGCTTGCTCCCTGGCTTGTGTGTGTGTATGCACCTGGTGACTGTAGACTGCACTGTGGCTCTCAGCAGGGAGAATCTGCAGACCTCTAAGATGGATGGGACCGATGACTAGAGATGGCCAGCAGTAGTTAGGAGGAGGAGGGGACTGGGAGCAACTGGAGACTCTTTCTAGACTGGCGCTGTGTGTTGGCTCTGGTTACTGGCTTAGTGGGACACTCAGCAACAGGTCTGATTTGTCGAAGGCTCAGAGAGTTGAGTGAAACACGTCCAGACATGCCTTTTACGTCTCAGTGTCTGCCCAGCAGTGTGGGCAGGATTCTCCAGCTCCTAGGGTTGTTGTGAGGACTCAGCGACAGCATGCTTTTGACCCCAGAGCCTGGAGAGTGATCTGTGCCCAACCAACAGGTGCCATACTGATGTGTGTGTGTGAGCCACAAAACATACCCTGTTCCCAGGAAAGGTGGTAACTACAGGACTGAGGGCAACTGTCAGGGGCCCGGAGAAGGGTCCGGGTTGGAGAGGAGCTGCACTGTCCCCCAGTGCCCAGCACAACATAGGAGCTCTTGTATTTAGTTAACCACTGAAAATGTGGAATCTGAGTCTTGATAATTAAAAATCCACAAGAGCTGTTATGAATGCCTTATATATTGTATGCAGTGGTGGGGTGGTATTCATCTGTCCACCCATTCATCCATCATCCACATACCTACACGTCCATCCACCCCCATCTATCAATCCATCTGTTTATCTCATCCATACCTCTATTCACTGATTCATCCATATGTCATCTATCCATCCTCTATCATCTATTTTATCAATTCACCTATTATCCATTCATCCATCTATCCACATATCCATCCATGCATCCAGCCATCCACCCATCCAGCCATCTGCTCACCCACTCATCCATCATCTCTCTGTCTTTCATCTATCCACCTACCTACTTACCTCCCTCCCTCCCCACCCATTTCATCTATCTATTCATCTGCTCGCTTAGCCTATCCATTGATCTATCTACCCATCCTTCTGTCCATAAATCCATCTGTTGCTCCAACTCTCAGCCAGTTAGCCAGCCGTTTTCCACCTTTCATCGGGTGAATTATGGCTTTATCTTGCATGGAGCTCTTGGTGTGGTGCCAGACACATGGTGAATGACCTCCTTGGCATCACCTTCAGCCCCAGCAACTTGCAGGCTGTGTAGTTCTTGCCTCTCCTGTGTCTTGTTAGGGTCCCCTGACATCTGGTAGAGTGAGATGGCCTTGTTCCAGCTTTCTATTCCTGTGTGTACCTGTGTTTCTAATACGTTCTTTCCCCATCACGGCTGCTAAGTGGCCGTTGTGCTCAGGTCCTTTTCTGATAAGCCTGTGTGTAGGGGACTGGTGCCTTGCCCCCACTTGTCCTGTTACACAAAGCTTCCCTGTTTGCTAGGGTGCTGGCTGTCACGGTGGCTGAGCCATGACCTGCCTAACCTCAAGTCTCTTCCTCTTTCCAGGGAGTCGGACCTCTTCTTGTTGGACAGTCGTACCCTGTGGGCTTCTGAGGAGGGCTGGCTGGTGTTTGACATCACAGCCACCAGCAACCACTGGGTGGTCAACCCTCGACACAACCTGGGCCTGCAACTCTCCGTGGAGACCCTGGATGGTGAGTCTCAGACACCAACACCTCTAGTCCCAGTGAACCCCATGCTTTAAGCCTCCAAGGAGGCTCAGCAGCAGCCCACAAGCTTGTTTTCGCACGAGTCAGTGTCCTCTGGTGCTCCCCATCTCAACCAGGCCTCAGGAGTCTAGCTTCTTTTCTGAACCCAGCACATCCTCCTCCATTCCACAGAAGATTGGGAGTTGGGCAAGATGGGCCAGCGATGGCTTCACTGCTTACAGCTGTCCTGCATCAGCAGGGTTCGCAGTCATGTGACACATGTAGACTCCTGGGTCAACCCAGACCTGCTACATGAGAACTGCACAAGGCTAGCGCTCCGAGGTGGCATAACACACACAGCACAGCAGGGCGTACCAGACAGGTTTGTCAGCTTGTTACCCTTGGCACTCCTGGAGTCCTGGGCAATGGAGCATGGTTGCTGGCATCCCCAACCTTCTAAGCATTGATTCAGGTAGTATCACCCCAGAATGCCTTCAGACATGGCCAGATGTTCTCTGTGGGGTGATATTGAAGTACTGAAGTCACATCGGTGGAGAAGTCATTGTTAGCTGCTCCTTCCTGGCATCTCTCACTCTCTCTCACGTGTGTAATGGGCATGAGCACATGAGTGGAGGTGACCTCAGAGGCCTGAAGAGGGCAGCAGACAGATCCCCTGGGATTGGATGCAGGTGGTTTCTAGGTGAATGGTTGGGTACTGAGAACTGAGCTTGGGTCTTCTGCAAGAGCAGGAAGTGATCTTAATCTCGAGCCATCTTTCCAGCTCCTTTCCACCAGGTATTATATTATTGTTGTTGTTGGTTTTGTTTGTTTTGGTTTGGTTTTTGAGACAAGGTTTCTTTGTGTAGCTTTGGCTGTCCTGAATGAAAGGCATGCACCACGACCACTCTGGCACCTTCCCACCAGTTTTAAGGGGAAAAGGAAAGCAAATTGTTTTTATTCATTTTGGAATAGGAAATACTCATTCCTCCATAGTCAACATGATAGAAATGTGTTACAGTAAATAGTCCCCCCCCCACCCAATTTCCTTCCCCTAGATTCTGAGTTCCACTTTCCAGAGATAATTCCTGATTAGCACTCATGGATGCCTTTACAGGAATGATGTCTGGGTGCTTAAAAGCTTAGGTATAGATTCTGATCTCTGTTTCACTTCTCATACAAATGATGGTGCAGATAGACTTTTTTCATTGGACTTCTTTGGGACTGCCAGCTCCCCAATAATGACGCGGAGACTTATTATTATGAAAGACTGGACTTTAGCTTAGGCTTGTTTCCAGCTAGCTCTTATAAATTAAATTAACCTGTTTCTATAAATCTATATATTTCCACGAGCTTTTTTACCTCTCTTCCATTCTGTGTGTCTGACTCCTTCCTTGTCTTGCTGGTGTCTAGATTCATCCCCCTGAGTTCCTCCCTTTCCCAGAAGCCCCACCTAACCTCTTTCCGCTTAGCTACTGCCATTCAACTCTTATTAAACCAATCAGAAGGGGCCTTAGCAAAGACACATCTTCACAGTGTACAATAAGATTATCCCACAACATGATGGGTGTGTCTTAGTTACTTTCCTGTTCCTGAGACAGAACGCCATGACTGGGGTGATGCCATAGACAAAAGGATTTATTCTGGCTTAAAGTTCCTGAGGGTTAGGGTCCGTGGTGGTGAGGACAGCGTGACAGCAGGCAGTGGAAATGACGACAGGAACAGAAGCAGAGAGCGTGCATCTGCAAACAGAAAACATAAAACAGCAGCCAGAAGTAGGCGGGGCACTTTACTCTCAAAGTCCGCCCCCAGTGACACACTTCCTCCAGCAAAGCTGTACCAACTAAACCTTCCCAAACAGCGCCATCCTCTGGTTTCTCTGTAGCTTTGGAACCTGTCCTGGAACTCACTCTGTAGACCAGGCTGAACTCACAGAGTTCTGTCTGCCTCTGCCTCCCAAGTGCTGAAAATAAAAGCGTGTGCCACCACTGCCTGGTGTATGGGGACGTTTCTTATTCAAACCACCACAGTGTTCAGGTGACAACTTTACTTGGAGTTTGGTCCCATCATCTATTAACGAGTTTCTAATTCACTTTAAGGTGTGTTTTATGACCACACATTATTAGTGTCTAGACCCATGCTCTCCCGTGACTTTAGACCTGACTCAATCTTGGCAGTCTCGTCTCCAGCAGGCAGGTGGTCAGGTGGTAGAAGGAGAGAAATCCATGCAGGTTGTCCTCTGACCTCCACATATGTACAGTTACATGTGTGTGCCTCCCAGGGGGTTTACCAGGGCACCTTTCAAAATGTGGATTCAAACTGAATAGGTGTGGGGTACAGGGAGCCTGTCTTTCCAGACAGCCTTCCCTGCTCCCCAGGCTGCTGGTCCTTAACCCACGCTGTGAATGGTCCAGACTTAGATGTGACTGTCACTACACTGTGTGGACTCTTGCAGGTAGGACTGAGGTGAGGAGCCTGGCTCCGCCCTTTCCTTCTGAGCGGGTTAAGCTCATGTCTGAACTTGACTCTGCTTGTGGTACTTACACTTTATATCTTCACCCTGCCCCATTTAGAGACGTCCCAGATGCCCCCAGCATTGTGGTGGGTTCCTGCTGCCCCTCCTCAGCAGTCTGAGCTGTCATACCTGACCGACCTTACTAAGACCCACAGGACAGCGGCGCCTTGGGTTTCGTAGCATGTCTCTTCTCCCGAGGGAGGTGCTGTGTATGAGAGAGGGTCATAGTGCTGTTGTTACCTCGCTAGGCCCCAAGATTCCCAATAACACAGCAATGAGACACCCTCAGGGATTTGCCCTTGGGGAGTGTGGGTGGGGCCTGTGTGCTCAGGTGACTCCAATGGACCTCTCTCTGAAGACCACCGGATGGGGAAGACCATGAGCCTTAGGCTAGAAAGTGTCAATCACCCTGCCCTGAAGCACTTTCTCAGAGGTGCCCACCCACACAGCCAATGGCCTCTACATATCCATCTGGATGGTCTGAGACAGTCCTTCCCTGCCCAGGGGGTCCAAGGAAAGGCCTTCCTGGGAAAGCTGGACACTGGGCAAGCACGCCTTCCCTTCTGTGCCTTACCCAGAGGGCAGGTACAGCCTAAGTCATAAGATCATCATGCCTAGCTGCTGCCATTCACTACCGCACTGGCAAACTAAACTGCCACAGACACCCTGGCAGCAGGAACTGTTATTGGCCAGAAAAGAGTTGTTGTTTGATAATTTGCCCTTGCCACCAAACTAGGGAGCAGCGGCACTGGGATTCGAACCTGGGCCACCTGGCTCTTGAGGCTGAGCTCTAAGCACCAGGCTGCTCTACCTCAAAGCCTGGTGTGTCCTGTCACTGTTCTGGGAAAGGAGAGGAGAGTACTGGCCATTGAGTACCACCACCTAAGAGGAAAATCAAACCTGAGCCAGCTGAGCCAGCAGGACTGGCAGGGCACGGACACTCAGGACCCACTGAGTCAAGCTGGAAGTCCCAACAGGTGTCCCTGAGACCCGAAGAAACAGCCATTCTGGAGGGAATGCAGTTTGTCTGCATCTCCACTCTTCAATTCTTCATCTCTCTCGCTCCACCCGCCCCCATGTCCCACCTGGCCTCTTAAGAGCCGAAATAATCCATTTCAAGAAACATTCACGTAGAATCCTCCTAGGCGAAGTCCTCAGCCTGAGATTAAGCAAGGACACTTGGCAAAATGGCCTCCGATAAGTCCTCAAGAGAAGCCTGTGGCGTTTACTCAGCTGGCATTCCTCATAGTTAACGGACCGTGAACTCTTCCCTTCGAGGGGCACCTGTGGCTCTTCAGGGAGCACGGGCTGAGAAAGGCTGGTGCAGGCCAATGCCATAAATTCCCACCCAGTTATTGTTCTCAAAAGAGCCGATATGCCCAGCTTGGAGGGTTAGCAGGTGTCTGTCACAGCTATTCAACTCTATGACTGGAGTGCCAAAGCCGCCGTGGACCACAGGGAAGACGGGTGTGGCTGGTGCCACCAGACACATTTGTGGATGACGAACTGAATATCATAGCATTTCTTGTGTCAACTAGAGTTTTATTCTGGGGACACCCTGTTCATTTAGAGAGGTGGATGCCGACAGACTCCACGCCTGCAACCAGTAGGTGAGAGGCTCATGGGGCCCCCTGGGGAGTCAGTGCAACCAGCAGCTACTGTGTGATAGGTCTTGAGCTGGCAGCAGGTTCCCCTATGCCCACTCTGGGGACCTGAACTAATTTAGGTTACCTTGATATTTTGGACCGCTCCTGCTGAGGCCAGGCTCAGGGTGGTACCAGAGTGGAAGGAGACAGCCATCCTTACCCTGACTCTAACCTTGGTTAGAGTGGTGGTTCATCAAGACCACCTAGCTGGAGAGAAGACCTGCCTAGTGGCGGCTAGAATTTGGAACTGGTTGCCTGTCAGGCCTCAGTTTCCCTGCTCAGGGACATCTGTTTCCATCCTAATGTGGTCTTTCTGGAAGCCTGATGTTTCGCCTGATGTCAGATCCTACTGGATGGCAAACGCAGAGTTCTCTGGCGTGCTCACCGCTCACTTCCTCCATCTGGCCCTGAGGGAGGTCCCAGGTCAGAGGTGCTCTTCCCAGACCACCCAGGCAGTGTGCAAAGTCTGCCTCTGTGCGTTGGCCTTCCAGCTGCAGGCCCCAAAGCAGCACAGCTAGGTTCCCCGGGCAAGTGTGTGGTGTGGGACAGAAGTCAGCACCCTCTGGATACCTTGGCTCTCAGAAGACAGCACTGGAGAGGAGTGGATGGATGGATGGATGGATGGATGGATAGATGGATGGATGGATGGATGGATAGATGGCTGGTTGGATGGATGGATGGATGGATGGATGGATGGATAGATGGCTAGTTGGATGGATGGATAGATGGATGGATGGATGGATGGATGGATGGATGGATGGATTGAAGGCTGGCTGGCTGGCTTGATGGATGGATGGATGTCTGAGACCCAAGGTTAGCACTTGTGTATTTCAGACTGGTCTCAAACT